CCCTGCTCTGTGCGCGGAGCAGACTGGCCAGGGCTCCAGGCGGCGCTCGGTGCCGGTCGTTCTGTCGCTGGGCTGTCATCTTGATGTGGTGGCTGGCGGGGGCGTGGGGGGGAGCTACAGCCTTGGCCTCCGCGCCCACCTTGGCCGGGAGCCCCGGGAGCCCACGGTCAGCCGCCTGGACGCAGGCGAGCATTCCCGGCACAGGCACGCTCTGCCTCCCCGGACCGGGGCCCTGGAGGCCACAGCTTGGCCATCACCGTCCCCCAGCCGGTCGCCTCTAGACCCTTGGCCCTGATGCCCGATTGGGCCCGGGGTCAGGGTGTGGGCTTTAGAGTAACCCCGTGTTCCTAGGAGCCCGGGGACGCTGTGCGTCCTGCCGTCTGTCCTGCCTCCTCCCTGCAGCCCCCGTGGTGGGAACTCCCAGAACAGGGAGGGAGGCGGATGGGAAGGGACGAAGCCGGGTCAGGCGTCACCAGCTGGGGCGATGGGTCCGTGCTGCTGTCCTGGAGACGAGGGCGTCTAAACAGGGTGGGGCTCCCACACGCACCCCTGGGGCAGTTGGAAATGCCCCTCCCGGCCGGCCCTGGAGCTCACCCCTGCTTCCTTCCTCTCCTCTTCCACCACTTCCTCTCGCTCCCTAGGGGGCACCTGCCCCGTGGCCACAGGCAGGAGCAGGAGGGCTGCACGCGGTGCAGGGCCCCATCCTCGAGGAGATAGGTGCCCAGCTGCCCTCTGCCCAGGGGCTGTGTCGCGGCAGAGATCTACGTGACGTGAGAAATGATGGCTGGACACGCGGGCGCCTGGACCCCTCTGGAGATGGGACAGGGCAGCGCGTGCTGCTAACGGTGACCCAGAGGCCAGCGAGGGCCCTGGGCTGCAGTCGCAGTGGCGCACCGCCCCCCAGGGGTTCACCTGCAGACTCGAGGGTGTCACAGCAGCAGGGGGAGGGTGCCCGGGGTGGGGTGCCGTGGGCTGCCGGCCTCTGAGCAGCTGTGGTCACGGCCACACCCACGCCTGCCAGCTGTGCTGAGCGTCTCTGGCACAAATCACCTGAGAGCCTGTGGAGTCAGTGAACTTTCCTCCCCAACGTATTGGTCTCGAAGCTTCCCCGTCACTCACCTTCCAGCCCCTGGTGGGCCTGCCACGTCCTCACCACACGTCATGGCGCCCTCAGCCCCCCACCCCTGCCCAGCCCGCAGGACTGGCCTGCCCTGTGCCACCAGAGCTGCTGGGAAGGGAGGAGGGTCTGGCTGGAGGGGGGCTGGGAGAGGGGGGGCTAAGGGGAGAGTTCTGGAGGCGAGCTGAGTGGGGAGCTATGTTGCGTTAGAGGGGGACCCAGGGGGCAAGGTACTGGGGCAAAACCAGGGTGTGGAGTGAGATTGTGGAGCAAGTGTGGGGAGCGTGGGCCCAGCTGGGGGTGGTGGTGAGATCAGTGGTCGAGTCAGAGTGGGGAGTTAGCCGGGCAGTTCAGAGGGAGGTTTAGAGGGTGAGCTAGAGTGGGGATCTGGGAACAACCAAGAGCATCGAGGGGGGGGGGGCAGGGGGCCAATTTGGGGAACTAGAGAGCCACCTGTGGGTGACCGGAGTGGGGAGCTAGAATGGAGAGGCAGGTGTTTGGAAACACTGAGACTCTAGAGCAGGGAGACGGAGGGGGAACCGAAGTGGGGAGTTCTGAGGGCAGCCGGGGGGTGAGCTAGAGTGGTGATATAGAAGCGGGAGCAATGAGGGCAAACTGAGGGGTGAGCTAAAGGGGTAAGGAAAGGGGGTCTCGGGGTGAGGGGGCAAGCTAGAGTGGGGTGCTAGTGAGGGGATCTATGGGCAGAGCTAGAGGTGAGTCAGAGTGGGGAGCTGAAGGGATGGCCTCTGGTAGGAGCTAAACCAGAGTAGCTGGTGGGTGAGCTAGAGGGGCAAGAAGGGGGAGCTAGTGGGGAGGGAGCTGGAGTGGGCAGGTAGGGGTGCAAGCTGGAGGGGGGGCTGAAGGGTGACCCAGAGAGGTGATATTGGGGGCAGGCTAAATGGGAGCTAGGGAGCGAGGTAGATGGGGAAATGGGAAACTGAGCTAGTGAGTTTCGCTAAGTGGGGTGCTAGGGTGGGGAGCAGCAGCTAGGGGCATGCATAACTGGGGAGTGAGGAAGGCGAGCTGGGGGCTCTTTAAGGCTGGGAGCTGGGTGGGGAGCGAGGGGTGAGGTGGGGGAGTCAGTGGAACTCGGGGGTTGAGTTCTGGGGGCTGAACTAGAGTGGGCAGTTCGAGTTTGGGACTGGGAGGTTGATCTGGAAGGGTGGGCTGCCGTCGGAGCTAGAAGTAAAGGGGGGACCAAGTCAGAAGAGAGAGTGGGGTGATGGACAGACGAGGGGGTGAGCTAGAGGGTCCAGCTAGAGGGGTGCTGTGGGGGCAGAATATGGTGTCAGTAAAGGGTGGAGCTAGAGTCTGGATCTAGGGGTCAAGCTAGGGTGGGGTGCTAGAGAGCAAGGTGGGGGTCAGGCCACAGTGAGTTATAAAGGTAAGCTAGAGGGGCAAGTGGGGGGTGCGAGCTAGAGTGGGAGCTACAATTGAGATAAAGTAGGAGCAAGAGAGATGGGTTATGGGTTGGGGCCAGAATGGGGAGCTAGGGGGCAAACCGGGGGTGAGCGAGTGTGGCAGCCTGAGTAGGCAGCTAGGTAGGAAAACGGGGTGTGCTGGGGCGGCCAGCTGGAGGGGGAGCTAGGGCCAGAACCAGGCCGATGGTCTGGAGGGAAGAGAGCTGGAGTGGGGTGAGCTAGAGTGAGGGGCTCCATGAGGAGGCAGAGCAGGGAGACAGGGAAGGAGCTAGGGGCCCGAGAGAGGGGTGCAAGCTGGTGGCGAGCAGATGGGCAGCCAGAGTGGGGGGGACAGGGAGGTATGGGGCAGGCTAGGGGGTTGAGCTAGGATGGGGAGCAAGCTGTAGGAGGCAGCTAAAAGCGGGAGGTGAGGGGTGAGCTAGTGGGGAGTTAGAGGGGCCAGTATAGAATGAGGAACTGGGGGCAAGCTAGAGTGGGGGTGAGCTGAAGTAGGGAGCTGAAGGCGGGAACTAGTGGGGAGGAGGGTGGGGAGCTAGAGGGGTGAGCTGGAATAAGGAACGAGGGGGGAGATCTAGAGAGGTAGCCAGATGGTCCAGCTAGGGGTCAAGCTAGAGTGGGGTTCTAGTGTGGGGACTTACAGGGGTGAACTAGAGTAGAGGGGTGAGCTTTCAGGGGGAGCTAGCAGGACTAGCTAGGGGCGGGGACAGAGTGGGGTGCTAGGGAGGTCAAGGGGCGTGAGCTAGAGTGGGCAGCAAGAGGATGCGCTAGGGGAGGGTACGAGGGTGGTGTGGTACGTGGGGAGCAAGTGGGGTGAGGTAACTTAGAGGGGTGAGCTAGAGGGGGCAGTGAGGGTTCATGCTGTGGGCTAGGGCTAGAGGGGTGAGCTGGAGCAGTTGGCTGTAGTCGGATCTGGGGCTGTGATCCAGAGTGGGGAGCAAGAATGGGGAGCTAGTGGTATGAACTAGAGGAGCTACAGTGAGGAGGTGGAGTGGGGAGCTAGAGTGTGGGGTGATCTAGAGTGGGCATTGAGGGGGTTGGGCGAGGACTAAACCAGTGGGGAGATGGGAGACTGCAGGGTGCAAGGGGCTGGAGTGGGCAGTTAGGGTGTGCGCTTGACTGGGACCTGGGGGGTGATTGAGAGCGGGGGAGAGATTGGGGACCTAGGGGTCAGGCTAGGGGTGAACTTGAGTGGGGAACCGCGTTACAAGCTAGACGGGAGCTGGTCTAGACGGCTGGCAGGTGGCAGAAGGGGAACAAATGTGGGCTCTTGGGAGCTGGGCTACATGGAGCTACAGTGGGAGCTAGTGAGGGGAGTTAGGGGTTAACTAGAGTGGGGAGCGCGTGTGGGGAGCTGGGGTTTGAGCCAGAGGGAGAACTAAAGAGGGAGCTAAAGTGGGGCGTTATGGTCCCAGCTTGACTGGGACGTCAGAGGGGCACCCCAGAGGGGGAGCTAGTAGAGTGAGCTGGGTGCCAGGTGGGCAGCTGGTGTGGGGAGCTCAAGGGCATGCATGGGGTGAGCTATGCTGGGCCGCTAGGGGGCTGGCTGGAGGAGTGAATTAAGGGGTGAGGTAGAGTGGGGGGGACAGTTATAGCTGAGAAATAGAGGGGGAGCACTAGAGTGGATTTAGGGGTGAGCTAGTCGGGCGAGCATGAGTGGGATGCTAGGGTTCAAGCCAGTGGGGACCCAGGTTTGTGAGCTGGAGGGGGAGTAGGGGTTGAGCTATTCAGTGGGGAGAGCTCATGCCCAGCGCTAGGGGCCTAGCTTACTCCTCTCCGCTCCTCTCCCTGTTTCTCTGCGACCTCTCAGCTCCCCTCTGTTGCCTCCTCTGCTCTCACCTCTTGCTCCCTGCTCCCCCCTCTCACATGCGTTAAAACGTGTTTGAGCAGCAACCGATGAACCAGATCCCGGTCAGGGCACAGGCCCGGGTTGTGGGCTCAAAGTAGAGGAGTTGAAGGTGGTGACCCAGGGTGATGTGTTCCGAGAGTGGGGGAGTGCTGGGGGGGGCTAGAATGGGGAACCGGAGTGGGGACATAGCATGATGAGCTGTAGGGGACTAGGTAGGTACCAGGGGTGTTAGGGGCCAATCTAGGGGGACGAGCTAGAGTCGGGAGCTGGAGGGAGACAGGGTGGCAGCTCCTGGTGAGTTGCAGTGGGTGCTGGGGGTGAGCTGTGAGTGAGGAAAGCTGAGGGGGGACCAGGGCGGCGATCTAGAGGGTAGTGTCCCCCGTCCTCCCCTTTGCCCCACCGCTCCCATGACTTGTGCTTGGCGACCCTGTGCTGTGTCAGTGTTGCTGTGCACATGCGTGTGCACCTACGTGTGCGCTGGGTCTGGGACTCTCTGACGGTCACATCACCGTCCACTCCCAGGGCTGCTGGGGCTCAGCCCTGCCTCGTGTGGACCCACAGTCTATAGAGGCGACGTCACAGCACCCTCCTGTTTCGCAGACAGCGGCGTCCCGGATCCGGCCGTGTGTGTG